AGAATCAGCATTTCGAGTTGCATCTTATGGTATACGTCGCATTTTAAACACCCACGGTCACCAAGTATCTTTCCCTTGTAAGAGTAATGAGACTGAAAATGGGAAGTAGTTTTTTTAAGAAGACAGATTCTCAACGTTTCTATGTACTGTTGAGTTACTCTACAGCTCATCACCTAGACTATTCACGTGAGTGGGCGTGGCGACCCCAGCAGCACCCACCTTCTGGAGCGATTTTCTTGCTCCAGATTATTTTTTTGCGACGGGACCTGGGCTGTTGTAGTTAGGGACCTTGCTAAATTGCATCGAATTCTCACCCTTCTGGGATTTGGGTGGACGGTGCTTCCAAGGATGTTTTTTGTGCTTTGGCTTTGATTTCGAGCTGCTATGTTGAAGCGGGTATCACTCTGTCCATCGCTGCCGGTGAACTAGAGAAAACTTTTTTCATCTTCGTAGCCCGAATATACGTCCCCTCAGGGACTGAAACTTGTTTATCGAGGGAGAGGAAGGAGTTAAAATCAATGGCGAGATGCTCTCCATTTCGGGCCAAACAAAGTGGCTGTTTCACCATCTTCTTTGTTCTTCTTCGCTATAGTTCATTTTGATGTATGAAGCTGCCTTGTTTTGGACAAATTTTCGTAAATTGCCATTCTTTGGGGAACTGTTCAAAACTAACCTTTCTCGCAAAAAACACATGAGCAAAGTAGATGATGAACGAGTTACTAATATTGAAGTACAGAATGTTCACCAGTTGCCCAACTTTTTGCCATCACAATGAAATCAGCTTTCTACTTGGTGCTGATGAAGTCGACTTTGACCATTTGATTTTAGTCAGACCAGTTTCATCCGGACCTCTATCCTCCAACCAGAGGGCCCACACCAGCTGCATCATTAGCTGAGTGGCAAGCAGGGCTTGACGTTGTTCCCGTTCAACTCCAACTGAGGCCTGGTCAGTATTTTTATCCTTATCCAAATGTGCTCGTTTCACTTTTGAAAGTGTAAAAACTCTTGATTGCTGCACATCCTATAAATTTTTGCATGATTAGCTAAATCAGCAAGGCTAACTTTTTCTGCCTTGCAAGATTTCGGATGCGAAATTGCGTAGCGCTCGTGAATTTGCTTTGATTTGTCCATTTTCTGAACCCCATCTCATAACTTTTTTATTCTGCAGTTCGTATTGTTTTGCTTCAACAACTGGTTTGCCAAGTTCCACTGATTTTCTTAGTGCTAATCCCAGTTTGTATATGTCGATGTTCAGGACAACTAACCACCACATCGAAACCGGTGCTACTAAAGGGACGTGGAAGTCCCAAACTAATTACATCTGATTTGAACAACGACAGAAAATTTAGGTTTTTATCAAAGGTAGTAGCTTTTCCTACGCTAGCTGTGGGTTCGATAAGGATGATCTTCAGATAACGAGGCCAGATTATCGCGCAGTTGAGGAGAGGGAAGATTGTGAGGAAATCACGAAGCTGATTGAGGTCACACATAAAATCCACGAAGGGCAGCGGAACAACAGGTGAGGTTCAGTTGAAAAGTGTTTTAAGACTGGGTAACAGAACAAAATTCTGCAAAAATGGAGGAAGTGCAAATAAGCTCTTTGATTTGAAACTTGTTGGAGAGTATATTTGTAATTGGCAAACACACTTCGATACATAGTGGGAACGGGCACATAGGTGGTATCTTAGAACTACGCTTTTTGGTAGTATATCTTGGGGTTTATTTGGTTTACCTTCAATCCGAAAACTTTGATCCACACTTCGCAGAATTCTGAGCACTTTTCCGGTGTGAGAATCGTTTAGGGTATCTTTGTTCTACACTGCTCACCGATGGCAGCTGCGGAACCGCACCGCGGTTTACATGTTCAAAGGTACTTGAGTAAGAGAAAG